TTCTTCTTCTTCTTCTTCTTCTTCTTCTTCTCAGATATTGTCAATTTGCTGATCTCATCCTAAACGCATATTGCTGAGCGTTCGTAGGGAGGAGAAAGAATTGTAAGACATCATTGACGGCTATATTAAAAGGGATTCTTGTCTATAAACTGAAGCATATAGCGCTCCAATTTCCCAAGAGGAAACCTAGGGATGCATGTCACCCCGACCCCTTGGTGACAGTGATTTCGGCTTTGTGTACTCCATCCATGACGAACACTCCTAGACTATCCTTTTTCCCTTCCCCTCCCCCAGTTCAGTGACCTCTACACGCCAAGTTCTTCACGCGGATGGTGTAAAAACGATGAGTTTTAATCATAACAAATGTATTAACCCTAAACAATTCAAATACTTTCATGATACTACAAATTCATATAATTTTTGCTTGGAGGTTCAGGACAAAAATGTGCGTAGGTCAGATAGTCTTTACTGTACAGCATTTTAGCTGGCTCCTTTTTGGGGTATTGCGTCTTCTGAAGAACTGCCGGTCCTTTAAAAAGTTGCGCAGTCTGTTGCACCAGTGCGGAGCGCCTTTAGTTGGAAGAACAGCTTGCAACAGATTGCGCAGCTTTAGTTGGAATTCCAACTAAAGGCGCCCCGCGCTGGTGAAAAGATGCTTTCGCCTGCACGTTCTTGGACTCCCACAGTTGTACCAACAGTTTCACAGTCATTCTAGTTGGTGAACTTCCCACCCTGGGTATAGGAGATTCTGCAGACTCGAGTACACTCTTTCCCTCATCTGCAACAATAAGCAAGAAACATATTAACATTCTAGTGAGTAAATAGGTCATAAAACAAGGTACATGATTTACTACGACTGCACTTTGGCGTAGTAACTACCTGCTTGAGACAAGCAGAACTCTGAGAAACCCTTTAAATTCCCACAAAATGAAAGAAAGAAGTGAGGTGAACAGACAGGAATTACCTGCAGATGCATAACTATCGGAGTCATCTGTCTCCGACTCCGAAGATTCAGCCGTGGAAATGGATGCGGAGGATGTGGTTTCGTACTCTATCTGGGGGTTCCTCCAGTCTTCTGTGCTCGTTGCTTCACGAGAGGAGCTGCTAAACAGGGGAGGATGATCATCTGCCGTCGAACTTACCAGGCACACAAGACTTCTGTATAGAGCGTTGGTGGAGGTATAGCCTTATTAATCGTAGCATGTATATTCGCATCGCCACATGCTGGAAAAGGTTAAACAACATTCATGAGGCTAACCGCAACAGGTATTCGA